TCAAGGGTTTTTTAAATATGATGAAAAAGCTATCGTAAAAATGTCGGCTCAAAACACAGATATATCAAGTCAGAGCAAAACCTAAAACTGAAGTTCTCAATCTCAGTTAGAAAGAAAAAGACAAAAACGAGAACAGTAAAAGAGTATTAATAGTTTACATGAAAGAGAAATTGAACAATGATTTCATTCGTGATGTAAATTGTGGCTAAATATTGACAAAACTGTTAGAAAAAGAAACAAACTCTCTTGATTACATTGTGAAACATTATTTAGTCTCAGAACATCTGTACTTTGAGAAGATATAAAAGAGAGAACTTAAAGCAAAAGTTCACAGAGTTAAGCAAAATGAATACTCTTATTTCGCTGGGTTTTCTTGCGTTTGTGATTTCGTGCTCTTCGTCAATCAGTCCCGAAGGTAAGTTCACACTGCTTGTATTCCTTCTAAAGACTGGTCTTAGTTTTCGCCCGGAACTCTGACTATTATTTTGGGGACTGTAATGAGCAATGTTCTTCAGAGTACCCTGTGGCATGACTATTTTCCACAAAAATGAAGTCTCTTTGGTACAACTATTGCAGTGTGCTGGCCTAAATACATTTTTCCCCAAAAGGCTTTGTTCGAAATCGTCCAACTCGAAGTCGTCTAGTATTCAATTCCTAGTAGATGATCAGAAATAGCGTTTTGTGATATGTGGTTAAAATCACGTTGAATATTCGCCATTTAAGAAAACAAGATTTAGACTTGTGATTTTATTTGTCCTTTATTGATACTACACCCTTTCTACTCTGCACTCTTTGATGGGTGATTCGAAGCTCATTGGTGTTTGGCGGAATCACGACAAAAACACGGTACAGTATTCGACATTTTTCAACAACTGCAGAGAACAGGTGTCTCTACATTTAGCACGAGACATAAACGCCCTGGACGCTGTTTTCACTATATCCTCGTCTAAAAAATACGGTATTTTAGTTTGCTTCCCAATGAAATAACTGAGGGAAAAATGACAGTGAAGGGATTATGGTGGCAGGCTAAACAAAACTAAACTGATCGCAAGACAAAAAAAAAACCGCATTGCGCTCTTTCATCAGAGGCATTAATTGTGTGATAGATTTTCAACATTGTCTTAGATATTTTAGAGTACTAAAACCCCTCACATATCGAGGAAGAAAATCGACTAACAATGACTAATTCAGAATAATGTTCTTACCGATGCACTTAGTGAAGAATATGCGTGTACAAATTTGAAAAATGCAATTACTTTATAATGAAGCCGGATCAGCCACCCACCTCTCCCCTCTGAGCCTCAAATGAGCTCATGAAAGCAAAGTGTACAGTTAAACTTTCCATTTAATTAAATTTTAAATCGAGTAGCTGTTAATTTTGTTTTGTATTGCTAATAAAGCTCAAAAGTAATGACTAAATGTCAGCGGACCTAAAAAATGTGACACGGCAGGTTTGTTGCAGTAAGGAATCCTCACAGCGTCCGTTCATGTACAAAATGCCCCGTATAATTTGCGATATAAAGGTGGCCTTTTTAATCACTTGGGAGCTTATTGATTAAGCAATCAAACCGCGATAACAGGAAGCCCAAAACGAAATTTTTGTAGCTTTAATAAGCAAAACTGAAAGCTACTGAAGCTCCATTTGAATTACACTTTTTGGTAACTTTGCCGTATTTGCACGACGCACGTAAAATTTCCTAATGAGAAGTAAAGATTGATAGACTTTGTAACAGCGGAAATAAACCCATGGCCAATAACGTGAGAATACAGGGACATGCATTTCTTCGCGAAGGAAGCCACCACTGGCGAGCGCAAAAAATTCATACTGACGACTTGTCACTACCCACATCTGGGTAATGCCTTTGATTGGTTGAAGCAAATTTCCCCCGGGCGAAAAGCATTACCCAGATCTGGGATGTGTCACGTCGTTGGTATGGAATTCCGCGTTATTTCGGGTGGAAACTAGAGGTGACGTCGCAAAATATCTACTGTTTTCTAAAACCTACTTGAACTTAGATGCAATCCGGATCTAAAAATTGAACTATAGGAAAACAACGACAACAACAAAATGAACAAATAAAAACCAAAACCAAAACCAATAAAAAACACACCTATATTTGACTTAATTATAAGTTTAGTGTAATTACGATGAGGTTTGAAAGAACTGGTCAAGAGTTCATTTTAAAATTTAAGTTCTTGATCGGCTGTTGCCGGCTGTCCTGGTCTGCAGTTTGTTAAATTTTGTTATTTGTAGAGAATCTGGGGCGCAAAAAGGGCGGTGACTCAGAATTTTTCGGAGGTGACATGATTTTAACCCCTAAAAAAAGAGCTGTTGTAGAGGGCGAGACTAAAGGATACTAATTAACCAACAACAGTTTGATGAACAGTCCATATAATACATTTGTACCGCATGCACCACAAAAGAAAGGAGCAAAAGTGAAAAGATTATCATGATGAGTTCTATCTTGTTTAACTAAAATACAAGAATATTTTCAGCCTAAAACGGCAGAAAAATAGCCTGGGCAGGCAAAACAGCATTCTTATGCAGAAAAGTGTAACATGATGGCCATGAAAATTACAATATTATTGTTAACATTTGCTTTGTGAATGCAGTTGAATACAAACACTGAGGTGTACACGTAATCCTGTCACCGATGGCTTTGATCAAATTCAGTGTGGCTGATTTTACACTCATACAAACACTGAGGTGTACACGTAATCCTGTCACCGATGGCTTTGATCAAATTCAATGTGGCTGATTTTACACTCATAGACTTAATGGTTTAGCTTTGCTTTATGTTTATTTTTTCCCTTAAAAAACACACAAAAATTCTTTAAACGACGGACACCCGAGGGACCCTAATTAGTGTTCGCTTTGCAACAGTAAAAGATTAATAGTTTACATGACAGAGAAATTGAACAATGATTTCATTCTTGATGTAAATTGTGGCTAACTATTAACAAAACGGCTATAAAAGGAACAAACTCCGTTCCAAAACCATTTGATTACATTGTTAAACTTTATTTACTCTCAGAACAGCTCTACTTTGAGAAGATATAAGAGAGAGAACTTATAACGCAAATGTTCACAAAGTTAAGCAAAATGAATACTCTTATTTCGCTGGGTTTTCTTGCGTTTGTGATTTTGTCCTCTTCGTCAATCAATCCTGAAGGTAAGTTCACACAGCTTGTATTCCTTCTAAAGACTGGTCTTAGTTCCCGCACGGAACTCTGACTATTATTTTGGGGGCTGTAATAAGCAATGTACTTCAGAATACCATGTGGCATGACTATATTCCTTAAAAATGAAGTCTCTTTGGCATAACTATTACAGTGTGGTGGACTAAAATACATTTTTCCCCAAAAGGCTTTGTTCAAAATCGTCCAACTCGAAGTCGTTTAGTATCAAGAGGAATAGCGTTTCGTGATATGTGGTTAAAATCACTTTGAATATTCGCCATTTAAGAAAACAGGATTTAGACTTGTGATTTTATTTGTCCTTTACTGATACTATACCCTTTCTACTTTGCACTGTTTGATGGGTGATCCGAAGCTCATTTGTGTTTAGCGTAATCACGACAAACACACGGTATAGTATTCGACATTTTTCAACAACTGCAGAGAGCAGGTGTCTCTACATTTAGCACGAGACATAAACGCCCTGGACGCTGTTTTCACTATATCCTCGTCTAAAAAATACGGTATTTTAGTTTGCTTCCCAATGAAATAACTGAGGGAAAAATTACAGTGAATGGATTATGGTGGCTGGCTAAGCGAAACGAAACTGATCGCAAGACAGTTAAACCCGCAAGGCGCGCTTTGATCAGAGGTATTAATTGTGTAATAGATTTTCAGCATTGTCTTAGATATTTTGGAGTACTAAAACCCCTCACATATCGAGGAAGAAAATCGACTGAGAATGACTAATTCAGTATAATGTTCTTACCGTATGCAAGTGAAGAATATGCGTGTACAAATTTGAAAAATGCAATTACTTTATAATGAAGCCGGATCAGACACCCACCTCTCCCCTCTGAGCCTCAAATAAGCTCGTGAAAACAAAGTGTACGGTTAAACTTTCCATTTAGTTAAATTTTAAATCGAGTGGCTGTTAATTTTGTTTTGTATTGCTAATAAAACTCAAAAGTAATGACTTAATGTCAGAGGAACTAAACTGAAATGCTACACGGCAGGTTTAATTTGTTGCAGTAAGGAAACCTCACACCGTCCGATTTAAAGGTGGCCTTTTTAATCACTTGGGAGCTCACTGATTAAGCAATCGAACCGCGATGGCCGAAAGCCCCAAAACGAAATTATTGTGGCTTTAATAAGCAAAAGTAAAGCTCCATTTGAATTACACTTTTTGGTAACTTTGCCGTACTTGCACGACGCACGTAAAATATTTCCTAATGAGAAGATCGATAGACATGTAACAGAGGAAATGAACCCATGGCCACTGGCCTGAGAATACAGGGACATTTCTTCGTGAAGGAAACCACCACTGGCGAGCGCAAAAAATCCGTACTGATGACTTGTCACTTCCCACATCTGGGTAATGCCTTTGATTGGTTGAAGCAAATTTCCCACGGGCGAAAAGCATTGCCCAGATCTGGGTTGTGTCACGCCGTTGGCAAGGAATTACGCGTCATTTCGGGTGGAAAATACTGATGACTTCGCAAAATATCTACTGTTTTCTAAAACCTACTTGAACTGAAACTACTTGAACCTACTAGATGTAATCCAGATCTAAGAATTGAGCAATAGGAAAACAACGACGACAACAAAAATAAACAAACAAAAACCAAAAACAAAACCAATAAAAAACACTTTTATATTTGACAAAATGAGTACTAAGTTTAGTGTAATTGCGATGATCATGAGGTTTCATTGAAAGAACTGGTCAAGAGTTCATTTTAAAATTTAAGTTCGTGATCGGCTGTTGCCGGCTGTCCTGATCTGGCCCTTAAGCTCCTTCTTACTCGTTTGCTGCAGTTTGTTAACTTTTGTTATTTGCAGAGAATCTGGGGCGCAAAAAGGCCTGTGATTCAGAGTTTTTCGGAGGTGACATGATTTTAACCCCTGAACAAAGAGCTGTTGTAGAGGGCGAGACTAAAGGATCAATAACCAACAACAGATGGCCAAATGGTGTTATGGTTTACCAGATCGAAAGTTCTCTGTGTAAGTATTAGCTGGTGAGCATCTTTTTGCATTTAACAAAGATAGTGAGATTTCCAAGTGTTTCCAATGTGCAGTTCGCCAAAGTGAATCCGCAATGATCGATTGCTCGCCGATTACTAATGATTTCTGCTGTCGTGCAATTAAGCGTTCTCAATATCCCCCGTAGCATTTGGTAACATGTATTTTCACTGAATCGCTCGTGATCTGATAAATCAAAGAAAACGAAGGGCTCTGGAAACCGAGAAGTCTAAGGTCTATGACGTATTTCCATTTCTGGTACTTGAGCCAAACCAAAAAAATTCGAGTTTCTTTCTGCAAAATATTCTTGCCCAGGCCTCTGGCGGATTTAAAGTTAAGGATGCGTTCTCCTGACATCGAACGCAACCATTAAAATGTGACCGACTAACTAATTAACTGACAGAGTAAATGCTGAAGAAGACACGCACAAATGAAAAAAATCCAGGGAAATTGAAACAGTCTGCAGTCGATGTTTTCAAAGGTTATCTCTGCATTTGTAACTAAAAAAATGATGCATTAGGAACAACGCAATTGTTCATGAAGCTCTGAGTTCTCCACTATCGTATCGTGCACAGTAATTTTCAAGGAGTTATAATAACTCCTCTAGTGGGGCTAATTTAACTCCTTATAGTGGATTTATTTTTTGGGGAGTTGTTTTAACTCCAAAAAGGATTTTAAAGAACTCTTTTTCAGGAGTAAAAGTGACCCCAGATATTGAGGAGTTAAAATAACCCCAAAACAGGAGTTATCCTGTACCTAAAATTTTTACTCCACTTTCAGAGTTAAAGTAACTCCAAAAAGAGTAAAAACAAAGCATGTAAGGAGTAAAAGTAACCCCATTTCGCAGTTACTTTAACGCCAGACTGGGAGTAAAAAGAACTTTTTTTCATGAGCAAAAATGACCCCAAATTTGGAGTTAAATTAGGAGTTAAGATAACCCCCAAAAGGGGGTTATCCTGTACCTAAAATTTTTACTCCATTTTTTGAGTTATAATAACTCCCTAAAAATTACGGTGTGCATTATATAATAACACGTGAACTATATACAGTGGTCTACAACTGAGAAAAAACAAGCTATTTAGGTCTTTTTCTTTATAGCTCAGTTAATTTTTAACAGTTTGAAATATTACGAAAAGAGTTTAACTGAATCTATTTTGTAAATTTAGCATCATCAAGTCGGGCAATGGCAGCCATTAATGCAGGCATGGCGGAGTGGACCCAGCAGACTTGTATTAAGTTTAAAAAGAGAACCAATGAAGCAGCCTACGTGTCCTTTTTTAAGGGCTCGGGGTAAGTGTTATTAACCCTTTAAGTCCCAATATCCGCATACAAATTCTCCAACCTGATCTCTATATATTTCCTTAAAGAATGAGTTGAGAGAATTTGATAAAAGATCAAATCATTTTCTCCTAGATGATCATTTTATTAATTCTTATAACCTAATCTCTTGACAATGTATGGATATTGTTAGGAGAAAATTTAAGTTTGTCACTATTGGGACTTAAAGGGTAAGAGAAGGCTCAGTGGTGAGGTGAGCTGGTTAGACCGCTAAAAATGCAATTTGGAAGCCCCCGCCGAGTTCATTCCCGGCCCTAACGGCGAGCTGGACTTGTTCCCAGTCCACGGTAAAGTCACGACTGCTCGGTCACGCTTGTAAATAGGCAACTGATTTGCCTCCGACCAGTTGAGATTCTTAAGCTTGTTATGTTTATTTTCAAATGCACTTTTATGGGTTATTAGGAATTGTGTTAATAACCCTACAATGTAAAAATAAATTGACTTTATAGGGTTGACACAACAAGGAAATTGGGCGATAAAATTGTCCAGAATAATTATTTAGGGTAAACTTAACCTGAACTATACTAAATATTTTGTGTTGATATACTGAACAGTACACTGCAAGAAAATGGAGACTTGGTTACGTGGTAAAATTGCCTTAACCGTGATATGAAAGCTCCCTGCTATTACCCCAGTCTTCAGAATATGAGGGATAAAACACAAACAATTAAAAAGTTTTAAAATATTTTTGTAAAATATCTTTCTGTATTTCAGCTGCTGGTCTTACGTTGGAAGAACTGGACGAAAACAACAATTATCCCTTGCCAGTGGTTGCTGGAGTAGAGGGATAGTTGCTCACGAGATTGGTGAGATTAGATGTGAATCGACGTATTTTTTTATTTCATCAAATCTTTGTGGATCTGGGATTTGAACAAAATTTAGTAGTAATGATTCTAGTACTTCTATGATCATGTATGATCAATCCATTTATTTGCAGAACTTCTTTTCATATTATTAAACTATTCAAAACAGACTAGCTTTACAACACACTTTTAATTTTTATTTCAATTTGTATTACCTCAAACTGCTGTATTTACAACTATAAAAACAATAACAAAATAAGACTCATGAATGGTGTCGTCAAGGCGTAGTATCTTAGCTATAATAGCACTATGACAAAGGCAGAAGTTTCACTGAAATGAAAAATTGCACCTTAAATTGCTTAAAGTGGCATTTCTCGACTGTGCGATCAATCAAAACTGCTGAAGTGATGATTTAGGGAGGGGTATTTGCCCTCTTCTTTGTCCTCACCTCGGGTCATTTGACAGCTTATGTGTCTCAGATCCAGGGAATTTGCCATTCAAAGCCAAAGAATTAAATGCTAATGCCCGGAGGTTAGTTTATGAGGCATGGGCGCAGCTGGAGTTGACTGATGCGTAACAATCATGAACAAAGGTCTCTTGTCTTATGGTTGTGCGCATGGGTAAGGTACTAGCCATACCGCTGAGTTGTTGCGTATTCTTCAGTGCATAATTTGGACTAGGTTCTGTCTTGTTCTAAACAGGGTGGTAAAATAAGTAATATTTGCATTAATTAAACAGGGGGGCCTTTACGTCCCCCGACCAATTAACCCCCCCCCCCTCGAGGGAGTTAATTAATGAATCCTGTGCAGTTTCAAATGCATTATGCCAGTTAAATGAGTTTGGAGGTATTTACCTAAACGTCCTGTAGCATGTCCAGTTTCAAATGCGTTATTAATGATTCCTGTAGCGAGTCGAGCACACATATCAAAGAAGCTAAGTAGGTGATTATTATTTTTTTCGCAGGGCATGCGTTGGGAATGTTTCACGAGCAGTCCAGACCGGACAGGGATAGCTATGTCACTATCAAATATGAAAATATCATAGAATGTGAGTAAATGACGACTACTACTACTACTACTACTACTACTACTACTACTACTACTACTACTACTACTACTACTACTACTACTACTACTACTACTACTACTGCTGCTGCTGCTGCTGCTGCTGCTGCTGCTGCTGCTGCTGCTGCTGCTGCTGCTGCTGCTACTACTACTACTACTACTGTAATGATAATGATATTAATAATGATAATGACGATGAATAAACATTATTTAGCGAAGAAATTTTGTCTTTACGTTTTTTCTATATGGCATCGTAAACACCAAGAGTGTAAACACTGAAAAGCACAAAAACCAGAAAGCTCTGTCATTCATTTACAGTCTGACAACGGAGTCCTTGTCTTAAAAATATGTTTTATGTATTTTTCACGACAGCTGCAAAAAGCAATTTCAGGAAACTGGGTTCCAATGTAATCAACTCATTGGGAACACCTTACGATTATGCATCCGTGATGCATTATGGAGAGAAATACTTTTCTAAGAATGGCAAGCCCACCATAGTGACAAAGAAAGCTGGGGTAAGTTCATTGAAATAAAAGAAAAATTTTTAAAATTATTTCACTTGGTTTCATTGAAGTCCTCAATTTAGTTTAGATACCCACGATTCAATACTTCGTTCGTCCTTTTCGAGCCACCGGTGGTGAAAGAGAATACCTCTGGCATTAAGGGTAAGAATAGATTACTCTGTCGTACGCGTTGAAATATTTCAAAGACACCAAGTTTGACTGGCTGCCCAACGTAATCTTTTACTGAGTTTGAGAACAAAGCGCAGTTTACATGGTTAAGGGGCAAAATAACTTCTTACCATCAGTTTTGTGGAGAAACAAAGTAACGATGAAATGGTTTTAGAATAATCCTTCATAGTTAGATAGCCCACGTTCGTTATATAGAAATTCTAACATGAGTCCGAGGCTTTCTGATCATATTTTTATATTACTCCCCGGGTCTAAGAATCGGCTAGATTGTCAGTCGTTTTCCTTGGATCCCTTTCTAATTTCTATTATCGGCAATTCTAAAGGAAGGGCTAATTATTGTCCGAGGCAAAATTCCACGATCTTTGACGCGGTTGAGAATATCACCGATCCTTTTTTCTCTAGGTTTCTATCGGAAATCGTAACGGAATCAGCCCAATTGATGCCGAACAAATGAGGCGGATGTATAAATGCTCCTCAGGGCCTGGTAAGATTGCATTTTTTAATTTTGAGGGGGACTGCAAATAACTTCTAGCACTTACTGAAGAGTCTCCTCTTTTTATAGTCAAACCAGTCTACTCTGTTTTATTAGGCGAACTTCAATTCTGTAGGCAAAAGTGAAGTGGACGTGGCTTAGGAAAACAAAAGAAAAGCACAAGCAAAAAAAAAAAAAACAAAACAATACAAAAACAAACCCTGTGCGAAAAATTAAAACTTCTCAACCACTTTTCCAGCATTTATCCTTGAAATTTTGAAAAACCTCATTTCCGCGTCAGAGGTGATTTGTGCATATAAAACTCTAAGACTTTTAGAGTTTCCACTACTTATTAATAATAACAACTCTCACCATGAACACGTCTGTAATTTATGTAAATTTCAGCAACTCCATCCCCACCAACCCCACCACCGACGACTGGAGGTCCACTTCCTCCTCAAGGTAAGATTGGTGCAACAATTAATTTGTGGGCCTGACTAAACACTCTATTTCACAGTTGTCTTATTTGAATATTTGCTAACATATGTCTTAACACACAGTATTAGCGCAACTTAATTAGATCAACCATAAAGCACAGATGGTGCAATTTTGTATTGTAGTAACCAATTTCCCGCCCGCTGGAAAACCAACTGTGAAGTCACCGAGGGGCGCAAAATGTTGAAAATGACAGTTTTAGGAATACCTCAAATTCTGCTACAAAGGGAAAAAATTCGAAGGATCCGTTCTTCTTCGTCGATCGCAGTGTTGTACACCTGAATAGTTAAGGCCAAATAAAATGAAAAATGTCCATTCCCGCCTCAGTTCTAGGGCCGCCTCTTTATATTTATTATTGCTTCTGGCAAAAAAGTTGAAATGAACAAAAACCTACTTGCGTTACTATCAACGCCAATTATTGCACACTTCACGTGACAGACGTTACATTTTCACTTTAAACAAAGCTTCTAAATTTCATACTTTCAGTTCTCAGATTTTGCTTGAGTCGCAGAAACAGATTATACCCTGAGTTCCGCCGCTTCGCTTTTTTTTCTCTCATCAGCATTCTTTGATTGGTTTTTGCAGGATGCTCTTTTGACAGTGGATTGTGTCCTGGTATGTCACAGTCTACCGCTGATAAGTTTGACTGGAGGCTCAGAAGTGGCACCACGCCTTCTAGCGGAACCGGTCCCTCTTCTGGGAATGGCGGGAAAGGTAAGTTCACCAACTTGAAGTTAAATCTAAGCGCATCTTCTGATTTTCTACAGTAGCGCTCGTTTTCTCTATGATTTAAATTACTAGGATGGTACTCGGTCATGCTTTGCTCGAAATAAATGTGCAGAAAATTTTGTAAAATTTTAACTCTCCTATCTTTAGTTTACCATGGTCGATTTTTATTTATTTGTACAAAGAACAGAGAACGGAGAAACTTTATTAAGGACGGAGGAGCTGTGTAAATAGATAACTAAATTTACAATGGTGGACTTTCTCGATCCTAACTATGTTACGTTTGGCCACAGGCTGTAGTCATATAATTTGATATTATTCTGCAAGACTTTCTTTGACGCACCTTTCGTGCACGCAATCCCATACATATTTGACCACTGTTTTCACGCCTTTTCAGTTCTACCCTTTTTATGCTTTTCAACTTTAAAAAAGCGGTGTTCGGAGCCATAGAATCAAGATGAAGATTTGAATATTTGTATGTCAGTAGATGGTTAACCAAATCATCGTGTTCTCTATGCATCACTCATAATTTTATTCTTATTTTTTCGTTGGACTGCAGGGTCCTACATCTACTTCGAAACCTCTTCTCCCGCTGTATCACGTGACAACGCTAAGCTTTTACTCACTGTTCCCGGGGGAGCTGCTTGTCTCGTTTTCTATTATCATATGTTTGGATCAGGAATGGGCACGCTGAATGTTTTCGATGGAAGCACCAACGTTTTTACCAAGACTGGTAACAAAGGGAATGCCTGGCATAAAGCTGAAGTAACTGTCAACTCGAAAAAAGTGAGTACATTTTTGTCATGACGGTTGAACGAACTCAACTGTGACTGGTGCGCCCACTCTGATCAGTACCTACTTATTACCTGTTAACTTTGAGCCAGGGGTGTGGCTCACTCCCTTATTTGGTTCACAAAACCTTAAGTTTCGCTATTTAGCGTCTTGAACAAGGTGTGATTCGGCACCAGAAACTTTTAAAAGAGTGTGAAGATCTGCGATGAGCATTTTAATCATTAAATGTTAAATTTATTTGGCACAAACCTAATTTTCTTTGTCTTGCTTAAGAAAGAATTTAGGTCACATCAAATTCTACTTTCTATGTCAATTTAAATCTTTTAATTTGTTTGGTTGATTTGTGTTGGATTTAGTTAACTTTTGAGGGAATCAAAGGAACGTCCTGGCAATCAGATATTGCAATTGACGATGTTTCGGTTAAACCCGGAAGATGTGGAGGAGGGCCATTACCACCGACACCACCACCCCCAAGCACTCCACCTCCACCCTCCCCAGGACCAGGTTTGTACCTAAACATTATGCTAATTAAAAAGAGAAATCTGTCTTTGAAAGTAGTGGATAATTGGGGATGGTTTCTTTAACCGGGCTGCTTCTGTTTGCTGGGCTTGCTCGCTTTGCTTAGGTAACTTTGATCACGCTATCACATGACCCCAGAGCTCTCATGTTTGTCGTTACAGTCTCCTGTGAAACATGCTGCACTGCTGTTGCTGATATAAGGGTCTCAGTGGGGTGGTAGCTTTGACGGTTAACGGTTATTAAGTGGAAATTTAGTCCAAGAGTTTTAGCAAATGAAGTTTGTTTTCGTAGACTCAACGTTTTATTGTTGACGTTTATAAATTACAAAATCAACAACAACCATCAAACCAACGTTAGTAGTTCGATGGCAAGAACAGAGAATTAGCATTCAGAGCGGAGCTCCACGCGCGAGTAAACCGCCCCCGATCGGAGCCTTAGTAGCCCCCTTACCTAAGAAATTTGGTAATCTGTGAATCCGAGAAATTTTAGAAATCACGTGACCGTACGTCCACACCAGGAAAACAAATGAGAAAAGTCAAACTTTCCAGCTGTTGTGGGAGCCTGTGACTTGTGTTTAACCAGATGATAGACATCCATCGAGGTCAAGTTTTGGACGAGTTGTTAGCTTTAATTAATCGCAGGCTCAAGTTTATGTTTTTCAGTCATATGGTTCTCTCCTAAGGTCAAGTGTAGATTTGTGTATTCCTTTGCATTGGTTTAATGTGCATTCTCTGAAGTAAACCCTTTTGAAATGCATAAACTGGAGCTTCGATTTTAGCACTGGCTAAATCTATATACATTAATTTTCATTGCCAAAAGGTTCTTGTGGATCGAAGCCTCCTCTCACTCGTATCGTGGGTGGCAAGCCTGCAGCTGAGAACAGCTGGCCATGGCAAGCAATGTTGATAACCACGTCTGGAAGGCAGTTCTGTGGAGGATCACTGATTCATCCTTTGTGGGTTGTAACTGCTGCTCACTGCGTCAGTGGATCTTCACCATCTAGAGTAAAAGTGAAGTTAGTAATCTTTCTTTACTCAATTGAATCTTTTTGCGAATCGAATGATCTGCCAGTATTGCGAAGTCGTTATGTTAATAAGCTTTCACGGTCTAAATAATAAGTAAATGTTCTCAAACTACAGCATTTCATAGCCTGAGAAAACAGCTGGCATTTCGAGACGCCACGGGTTGTTTCCCCGCGAAATGAGAAACGAGAGTAGACCTGTCACTAGCCAGGTCTGGGTAGTGCTTCTGATTGGTCGAGCCGCGTGGGAAATTTCCTTCAGCTAATCAGAAGCACTATCCAGATCTAGGTAATGAAACGTCATCAGTATGGAATTTCTGCGTCTGTTTCTCAGACGTCAACGGTGGCGTCGCGAAAGGTTGGCTTTTTTTTCTCCGACTACTGCAACAATTACAATAGGATTTTAACAGCCCTAAACTATATATAAAACAGCAACTTCTTAAGGAAAAAAATTTGAAAAAAGGCTTTATTTAAGCCGTGGTCGACATCTGCTGAATAGGTTGAATCGTCTAAGGTTTTTTTTCCTTTTCAGAATGGGAGCTCACTTCAGAACTAGTGACCCCGTCGGAACTGAGCAGACCATCAACGTCGCTCAAATTATTTTGCATGAAAAATACCATAAGCCTTTGCGATACGCTCACGATATTGCGCTGCTCAAGCTTGCCAAACCTGCTGTTCTTGGGAAAGGAGTTGGACTCGTTTGCCTTTCAAATCCAAACAACCCTCTTCCAATCGACAATCTTAACAAGAAATGCTGGATAACCGGATGGGGAACTTTAACATCGGGTGGCAGCCAACCTAAAGTGCTCCAGGAAGCTTCAGTTCCATTGGTTTCTAAAAAGCGATGCTTGAGAGCCTATCCAGGTAAAATTGGCGACTCCATGATATGCGCAGGTCTGGACAAGGGAGGAGTTGATTCGTGCCAGGGTGACAGTGGTGGACCACTGGTCTGCGAGTTCAACGGCAAATGGCACCTGGAAGGAGTGACTAGTTGGGGATACGGATGTGCCGCTCCCAACAAATTTGGTGTCTACGCAAGGGTTGGATACGTGAGATCGTGGGTACTAAGCAAAACCGGCATTACCCCTCCATCGACCCCTTCACCACCCACACCTCCGCCACCGCAGTCAGGTATGTATCTGTAAGAAGCTTATTAATGTAGCATCTTAACAAAGTTAAGTGGCAACAAGACTTTGAGGAGGTCATCCACAAGCAATGCAAATCGTCGGTGCAAAGGGACAAATCTAACATCTTACAACCTGAGAATTAAGTCAGCCGTCTTTTCTTAAACTATACTCCCTTGCAGCAGGCGATGAGCTGAGAACAAATAGTAAGGCTGTATTCGCAGGCTAAACATATTAAAAATAGGCTGTAAGTCTTAAGATCAGTAGGAAATTCCGGGAAACTTCCCATCTGCCATATTCCTAACAAACACTTTCCCTTATGGGAAAAATCATTGTTAACGTTTGGTCAAGGAAGGGGTAGGTAGGCAGTTCAGTTTAAAATGTTACATCTCTTACTGATCTCCAAATTTGATGCCTTCTAGTTTTTCAGATTTTGATTTATTCGCAGTTACAGCACTTTTAGAATACACCGTGAGTTACACCGCTTCGCCTTTGTCTCTCATCAGCAAACTTTGATTGGTTTTTGCAGGATGCTCTTTTGACAGTGGATTGTGTCCTGGTATGTCACAGTCTGCCGCTGATAAGTTTGATTGGAGGATCAGAAGTGGCGCCACGCCTTCTAGCGGAACCGGTCCCACTTCCGGGCATGGCGGGAAAGGTAACTTTACCAACTTGAAGCAGTAAACCTCAGCTCATCTCCTAATTTTTTATAAAAGCGCTCGTTTTCTGTACCGTTCAAATTACCAATGAAGATAAATCATGTGTTGCTTGAAATAAATTTGCAAACAATTTTGTGCCATTAGATAAAATTTTAACTCTCCTATCTTAACTTAGAAAGTGGAACAGAGGAACTTTAAAAATAGAGGACCGTACCTGTTTAAATTAAGAAATTTACAAAATTGGACTTTCTTGATACTTAACTATCTTTAGTTACGTTTGATCACAGGCTTCAGCCATATAATTTGATATCATTCTGCAAGACTTTCTTTGACGCACCTTTCGCACATGCAATACCATACATATTTGACCACTGTTTCATGCCTTCCCAGCGCCACCTTCAAGCTTATAAACTTTTAAAAACTGTGTACGAAGCCATAGAATTTAGAAAAATATTTGAAGATTGGTATGTCAGTAGATGGTTAACCAAATCTTCGTGTTCTCTATACATCATTCAAAATTTTATTCTTATTTTTTCGTTGGACTGCAGGGTCCTACATCTACTTCGAAACCTCTTCTCCCGCTGTATCAAGTGACAACGCTAAGCTTTTACTCACTATTCCCGGAGGAGCTGCTTGTCTCGTTTTCTATTATCATATGTTTGGATCAGGAATGGGCACGCTGAATGTTTTCGATGGAAGCACCAACGTTTTTACCAAGACTGGTAACAAAGGGAATGCCTGGCATAAAGCTGAAGTAACCGTAAGCTCCAACAAAGTGAGTGCATTTCTGTTAACTTATAACTGTTGAACGAACTGTCACTGATCAGCATAAGTAACAGTACCTGCAATAAATGAAACAAGTAATGCCAGTAGGACTCGTCTTCTGTTAACCTGGGCCAGGGGTTGGGGCTCACTCCCTTATGTAGCTTAAATTGTTATGTGTCTTTGAACAGGGTTTGGTTTATAATGTTTTAAGTTTGCTAGTGAGCGTCTTAAACACGGTGTGATTTTGGACCGGAAGCTTTTAAAAGAGTGTGAAGATCTGCGATGAACGTTTTAATAAAATGTTAATTTAAATTCGCGCCGATCTAATTTTCGTTGTCTCGCTTAAGAGAGATTCCAGTCGATTTCAAATTCTACTTTCTTTGTCACTTTTTTGTTTTGCTGATTTGTGTTGGATTTAGCTAACTTTTGAGGGAATCAAAGGAACGTCCTGGCGATCAGATATTGCAATTGATGACGTTTCCGTAAAGCCAGGAAGCTGCGGAGGAGGGCCAGTACCACCGACACCACCACCCCCAAGCACTCCACCCCCACCCTCCCCAGGACCAGGTTTGTACCTAAACATTATGCTAATTAAAAAGAGAAATCTGTCTTTGAAAATAGTGGTTAATTGGGCTTGGTTTCTTTAACCGGGCTGCTACCTCCAAGACCAGGCTTGTACCTAACGTTATGCTGATAAACGAATTTGACAAATTTGTCTTTGCAAATAATTGGGGATGATTTCATTAGCCGGGCTGCTTCTGTTTGCTGGGATTGCTAACTTTGCCTTGGTGACTATCACTGTATTACATGAACCCAGAGTTCTCATGTTCCACGGCAGTCTGGCCGTTGCAGTCTCGGGTGTAGTATGTTGCACTGCTGTCAGTGCTGGTATGGTCTGATGGTTGTTGAGCGTGACTACCGTGGTGGAAAGTTTCCAGCTCGGAACTTCCAGGCTTTATGATAGCCATCTATCTTTCAATTTTTTTTACTGAACAGGGATTTTGACCTGGATAATAATCAGTTTACTAACCAATCAATCCATAAAATCAATAACGTCATGATTATGCAAGCCGAACATTATAAAACATTATAAAACATTATAAAAATTAAAGAATAACCAGCGCTTGGAGGTGGTAAATTGACGTTGGAGAATCAAGTTTAGCCTTTGATCGACCATGAAACATTCATGGAGTAAAATGATCTGAATTCTAAATTATTTGTTTTCAGGATGTGTGGATAATCCGAAATATGCAGACATTTGCCCATCTATTGCCACGTGTGGACAATTCTGTAGCAAGAACCAAGTATGGGCGAAGAAAAACTGTCCTAAGTCCTGTAACATGTGTCCTCCTGGTATGTTTCATACTAACAGCTGAATTCTTAGTGGAAATACAGCCAACTTTCTTCATTTCTTCTTTATTCCTGCCGTTTTCAGCCTTCTTAACTCTAATTAAGTAGGACACAAGTCCCCTCATTTGCCAGCCCTAACGATTTTTGCCTAGTACCCTTACAGACGGTTGTCGGTATCTCTAGTTATTGAGCAGGCTCATGTGCATTTTATAAAGTTGTTCATTCGAGTCATTCCAGAAAGGTTTCACTGCCGGAAAGTGACAATACCCAAGAGCATCATGGGTAGTTATTAATTCACAACGTACGCGCGTATCAGGGGTTTATTTAGATTCTCAGATCTAGATGATATTACAGACTACCCTATTGATCTTGTGGCGTATATTCTTACAGTTAAAAAGAAAAAAAAATTCTCCATGAATAGGACAGAGCTAAATATAGTATCATGTTCAAGATTAGTTGTCCCACACAGGGCCCTTTGTGGAATACATTTTCGATCTCTTAAACTTTTAGTGTGTGCGGATAATCCGACAGTATGCTGTCAATTTTTTGTCTATCTATTGCTGCCTGTGGAAGTTACTGCAACGATCACAAAGTATGGGCACTCATAAAATGCCCAAAGTCCTGCAACATGTGTCCTCCTGGTACGTTCATTACATGGCAATACTACTGTTCACTACTGTAGTCTAATTATTCTATTATGTTATCAGCTAGAACCGGTGCATTTGAACACCTACCCTTAAGAAGGCTGGGGGAGACAGGGACAGAGTGGAACTAAGACTCACTAACCTTCTTCCAATTTTTTTTCATCTTACAGTTCTTTGCCTATGCCTGATTGAGTAACAAACTGAAATCCTTTAACGTCACGATTTATACCTCCCTAAAAATCCGCTACAAGAAACTAACTATACAAATCTTAGCTCTTCTTTCCTTGGAGGGGTGCGCGCGCTACAATAGCTGTACAATAACATAGTTTACTTGCGTAAGGAAGCAACGTAAAGTTGGTTTTAATATTAAAATAATTTAAACAGGTCCAGCTACACCGGCTCCACCTGCGTCATGTGGCAGATCCCCCGTAACAAGAGTTATTGGTGGAGTTGACGCCAAACCAGGAAATTGGCCCTGGCAGGTAAATGTTGTAATAACGAAAGGATTACCCCGTTCACATAATTCTCTTTACATATAATATTTCACGAACAGAAAACCATGGAAATACTTATTTGGCACAAGACAAATACAATGGAACCTCGATATAATGAACCACTATATCACGAAGTCCTAGCTATAACGAACGATTTTCTTTACCCCAGAGATAGCTATAGTAACATACATGAAAAAAAACCTCGATATAACAACTTCTTTATAGCAAACAAGGTTTTGCCAGTCCCTTGGCTCTTCGTTATATTGAGGCTTCACTGTACGTACTTCTCTAAGTAGATGAATTTTACAAAGTGTCACTGAAGCTACAAAAAAGGCAAAAGGCTTGCAGGTGCATCTGATATAGCACCTCGAGTTTAAAGTAAACAAATGTGGGCTGCCTTCCTCTTTTTTTAGATATACTTGAGTATTAGCTGGATAAACACTCTCCCCTTTTCTTGCTTGATATTTCACTTTCGACTATTTCTTATATGCGTTCATTTTTTAGTAGAATACAAATGCCACCCCTACATGATTTCAATTTCTCAGTAATTTTTGAAATAGTTTTTTGTTTATATGCTTTTTATTTTGTTGCATAGATCGCTCTCCTCAAAGGAAGTTCGAAGTCGTTCAGCTGTGGTGGCTCACTGATCGCTCCTGACTGGGTTGTTACAGCAGCGCATTGTATTTCCCGGGGACAGTAAGTTCAGTGAAACGCCATTAATTAATATCACCTCTAAAAGGCTTTGAAAATCTGTCATTTCAAATTAGTAACTAAAGGCGGATAGTGTTGACGAGGTTACAAAGTGACTTTAGAATTATATTAAGACGAAGTCGGTTGTATAAAACGTGGGGTTTTGATATAAGTAGGAGATCCATTACTTAAATTGAAATTTTAAGTTAAATTAAACGTGAAATTCTAACTACCTACTGGCTACTTAGTAAACTGTTAAACTATCCTCTTCCTTTAAAATAAGCGCATCATTATAAAGTTTTGGCTTTGGAAAAAGCAAAAGAGCAAAAAAAGGTTAATAAATTACTTATGGAAAATACTCAGGCCGGTTTGCTACTTGCAGTGGAATAAATCCCCGGTAAGGCGAAATGACGTCATTCATGTACGTTAAGTTAACTGACTACTTAAACCAGTTTAAAGGAGATCTTTGTCTTTTTATGATAACAGGCCAGCTAGTTTCTATACCGTTCGTTTGGGAGAATACAACCGTCGTGTTTCCGAAGGAACTGAACAAGATATAAAAGCTAAACGTGTTATAGTTCATCCTGGATATTCTTCAAGTAAACTCGACAAAGACATCGCTTTGATCCAGCTTTCTAAGCCGGCAACCTTAAACAGTCGAGTTGGAACGGTTTGCCTTCCTGTTCAGGACGAAATGGTTCCCACATCCTCTAGATGCTTTATTTCCGGTGAGTTGAAAGACAAACTATGAATTTTTATAACCTCAGATATTCAGGAAAGAGTAAAGGTGCTTACAACCTCTATGCGACACAGTTCGCCCCATATGAGGGAATCTGGATCCTGGAATACGGAAAAACTTTGCTTTTGGAATCCGGAATCCCGTGCTTTTGAATCCAGAATCCTGCTAAGGATTGGAATCCGGAATCCAAGTTCCACTGACAGACTGGAATCCAACATCCGGAATCCGAAATTCACTGCTTGGAATCCAGAATCCAAGACTGTCTTGGATTCCCTTCCGTGGGGCGACACAATTATATTTTCACTTGAAACGTCTAAGGTCATATTTTAAATAAATAGACTTTGATGCTCTCTAAAAGAAAACGTAAACTTTATTATTGAATGAAACAGGTATGACGTCATGTCCTGTTGACATGGGATTTTACTAACAAAACGATCAAGTGAAGGCACGCCTGCCTGACTTGTATGATCAGTGTCTACTTGAATTTTCCCCGTTCCCGACGCATATTGTTTTTAAACTCCTCGACTACATGCCACTTAAGGATGGGCCATTAGAAAGGTGAATTCGAAGTGAAGGGGAAAAGGTCGGAAAAAAACAATACTTTAAAAATTCACGAGAAAAAATTATACATACAGCTGGATCGTGGAGAAAAAGCAGACAAGCTAAGAAAAAAAAAAAACAAACAACCATTCACACATAGCGAACCAAAACAAACAAGTAAACACGAAAAGCAGAAACATCCCCATCCGTTTCACTTTTCTCTCAAGGCAATAGAAAGAACAAAAGATTTCATAACAAACTTTTGTAAAAACGCATGTCTAATCACTTTTACAATTCTAATCACGAAAGCACAAATAATAATGCAAATTTTCTCTAGATTTTAAAAGTAAAATGCGGTATGAATCTTCGTTGTGGGTAATCAAAGAAGCCACAAGAGTTATATTGGTTATGTTTGCTGTTAAATAATGGTAATAGGACTGAGTGGAGTCCAATTCGGTCTGTCCGATTTCAGTGTATAATCACGAATATAATTACAACCCGAATTTGACGACACGAATTCCCCACAAATTTAAATCATAGCTATAACAAAATTTATGATGTTTTAGACACACAGGAAATTCCAAGGGTTTTTTTATTAGACGTGAAGAAAAAGTGCGCGCGTGTGATGGCGCGCACTGTTCAATTATTAGGAACTTTAATATCCAACTACGCGACGGCAACGAAGACGTCGCTTAAAAAGAGAATTTGAGTTCTTTCAGTCTTTATTGCAATTATTCCTACCCACTGACTTTGTCAAACGTAGGCGAACCTTCCTGGAATTTAATTCCGAGGGACCATATCCAAGTTCAAAAAGAGAAAAAAAATTTCGTCGTTGCTTGTTTATGTCCTGAATAAAATGCGAAATTAGGCATTTTCACGTCGGCAAACGGGCAAAGAAATGTACGAAAAGTGTGATGCAAGTGCAAAGTTCCTAATTAGAAATGCGCCTACTGTCCTATCACACTGTCCTATTAGTGCTGAAATCAGGATAGTTGATAGCCAATCAGATTTGAGAACTTTGCAATAGTTATGATTAAGACTGAAATAATGCGTTTAAACTTACCTTGAATTCATTCTTTCTAATAGGATGGGGTAAGATAAAACATCCTGGATCTTCCCATCATATTCTTCAACAAGCTGAGATACCTCCGTTGACAAATAGCGTATGTCAAGCAAAATTGTCCACATCATCAGGTATACTACGCTAAATACTTGTAGTTTTGAATTGTTGAAAAAAAAAAATCAGATAGCAATCAAACGTGCCATGATTATATGTGCTCAGTGTGAGCTGTAGGGACCAAATATTTGTGAACAATTTTCCGTCTTCTAGGGGAACAGCTTTGGTTGTTTCGTTCTTTTCGTCTCAATTAACCATCACCGCGCTATTCGAATTCCGTACTGAGCAGTCGTTAACAATGTATCGTTAATTTTCTATCTTATATCGCCCTTGCCGTAAATCGTATACGCCCGAGTCATCTTACTAGAAAACCCCTTTCAGAGGAAGGAGCCTAATAATTCCCTGAGTGTTGGTTGAAAGTCAAGTCATTTATTAATAAGGTCTGACAAGCTTTATTCAATCGGAAATAGTTATTGAAAGAGTAATTAAGAAAAAAAGGAAAAGAAAATCGATGTCCCTCAGAAAAAGGTCAACGTCAATTTGTTTCACGTGACCAAATTCTATTACAGTGGAACCTCATAATAAAGAGGGGCCAACGGACTGGCGAAATTTGTTCGCTTTAACGAGGTTCTTTTCCTTACAATTTACTATCACTAGGTAAAGAAAATCGTTCGTTATACCGAGGACTTCGTTATATAGAGATCCGTCATAAGGTTCCACTGTATTTACTTTTCCTTTACTGTTCAATCACTTAAAAGAAACAGTTGCACCCCTTATTATCTCTTGGTTTCACATCAGGTTTCCTGATTGCACTGTTTTATCCGCTTATTTCCGTGATTCTTAACCTGTTATTATAATCCAATCAATTAAGCTGAAATGAATAAGGTCAGTTTAATTTAGTAGGCTTTGATAATTATAATTTGTTTTTTTTAATTTTTTCTGTAGTTGGAACCTTTCTTAAAATTACCCCACACATGCTCTGCGCAGGCAAAAGTGGAACTATCCTTAGTGGTTGCCATGGAGACAGCGGTGGTCCTTATGTTTGTCAAGGAGCCAATGGAAATTGGGTTCTACAGGGTGACGTCAGTTGGGGATCCTCGAAATGCTCAGCGAAAGAACTATACACTGTATTCGGACGGGTGGCTAAGTTCAGGAATTGGATCGACCAGACCATGAAATCTTAAAGTGTCATTTAGCATTAATCGGCTCCTGCATTTACAAAAATAAATAAATTTGTGGCATTAAAAAGATTGTACTTTGAGTTCTTTATTGTAAGAGATTAAGGATGCGTCATTACCAGTGACTTAACGATACAGCAGGTACTGGTATACCGGTAGAGGAACATGTTTCGTACGTGTTTATTGAGGGTCTCAATGGGGTTAACCTTCAGCCGTCTAAAAAGGCTTTTTACCGTCAACCGTGAAAAATGCATATTAATATTTCAAGATATTAAAATCTCACTATTTCAGCAGGTCTTAACGGATGTCTGTTTGCTGAAGAATTTCTAAACTTAAAACAGTTCCCATGTTCTCAGTTTAACTCTCTAGACATTAAAAGACCTCACAATTAACTTATATCTAAAATTTTTCGAAATTTTGTAAGTGAAAGACTAAGACACCTTTCAGGACAAAACATTTAATATCATATAATACAAAAGTTAATAATGTTATTTATGGAGAAGTGATACCTCATCTTCGCTAAATTAAATAGGCCCCGGCCCGTTCTGGCCGCCATTCGTCATGCTAAAAGTATGTTTAATGGACTATCCGATCCTTTTATCGGTCGATTATTCATCTGTCCAGTGAAAAGGGAATGCGGTGGTCTCACTTTATTCTGGACTTTTTGATGAAAATACCCTAACACTCTATGCCTAAGCCTATTTTCCCTCCCCGCGGATCAATCTCATTATGTGCAGAGAAACTTTTAAGGGGTCATGATCTTCTGCTAAGTGATTATTACGTTCTTTATAGTGCGCTGTACAATCAAATATCGACCAGATATTAATGAACTACTGGTTCACAAGTAAATTGACACTAATTAAACGGCCGATAATGTTCCGAGATCAAAGAATTGCAACATTGCTTTATTGTGACGAATGATAACCCTACACTCGTTTAGTAAGAGAGAACATTTTTACCATTTTTCTCTTCTGAAAGAACAAGAAAAGATTGTTTCTTATAATCTGAACAACAGCGCTCACTTTTAATTCTGACAATGAAGGTGTTTAGTTATTTATTTTTCAAATATCCCACCATGTATTCACCTGCGTTGAATTGTTTTTATAGCTTTTAGATCTGACATGATAAAAATTACCTTAGTTCAAATTATTTACTTGTTGACATTACTTACAAAAGAAGCAACAAAGGAGTAAATTTTTTAGCGTCTGGTCATTTCTTCCGACAAAGCGCAGCCTGCAGACCCCTTTTGTGCTCCGTGCTTAAAAACTCTGCGGATACACACTAGTTATGCTTTCTTTAGGAGATCTGCCAAATTTCACACTTAAAACATTTACTGCTTTAACTAGCTGTTCTGACAATAGGGCCGTTCTGCTTTTGAGTTGCGTCGGTTGTCAGTTTTTTTGTAATAAATTAGTGCACTGAATTGACCCCCACTCACACCGAATTCAAAAGGTCGACCTTTTCAACCATGTACCAGCTACTGATTGTTGTATCTTTGGTATACTCATCGCTGGCCTTAGTGCAAGGTATGTTTTGCATTATATATTAGTTAATAATCGTAGAACAACAACGACGAAATATATAAGAAATTATGCTCTGATCTGTAAGTGCTTTTTTCCTTTTTTGATACTTTACTGTACGTACATATAGAATGTCTTTTGACCTCATTAATGATCAAATTCATATTTTTATGCATGGAGATTCAAGAGTAAACCCACGAAAAGCTATATGTATTATTTCCTTCAATCACCTGCGTACATAAATTAAGTAACTCACTCTCTGGTATTGAAATAGTTGTAAAGAACGGGACATTGCACAAGACTCAGACACGAGAATCGAAGAAAATTAAATATGTCCACACATTGATATCTTTTTCCTACTTTCTTGCGCAGAGATGATTTATATACATTTAATGTCAAAAAACCCTGCAGTTATTGTCCTGAGAGCCTCTTAATTTATTCTTTTTATGGTTCCCTTGAACAAGATACGTCGGTGGCTTTAGTTACCAGATACAAATGTCAGAGCTACAAACTCTTCAAAATATCGTCTGCGAAAACTGCCTGATGGTCTAATAGCCGGAGTCGCACGGGGAGTCCACTCTCAAAAAATAAAACTTCCAAGAAAGAATCTTGAAATAACTCGATTTTTCGAAAGACGAGAGATATTAGTGATATCTCTTGTATTTCAAAGCAAAATTCTTTCATGCATTTAACTGAACATTTACTCCAATTCCGTTTGGGCGTAGCTGCCTTCAGTTGCAAAAACTGGCGATGCAAGTAAGTTTAAAATCTATACTATAGTTGCCGAGAGGATCGATACAAATAAATGCATAATAAATCATTAACAACAGAAAGACCGCTTTCTTCCTTTATGCCTAAAACACAAAACACTAAGTGCTGAAAGGCCAAAGACAAATTTCATAGCTTCGAACTAAACGGCCTTTTTATCTAACAGGGAACTGTGGAGTTCGCCCTCACATGCGTATTGTTGGCGGTGTAACAGCTCCCAAACATTCATGGCCATGGCAGGCAATGTTAATGACGAAAAGTAAATCTCAGTTCTGTGGAGGAACGTTAGTTCACCCAAATTGGGTTGTGACCGCGGCGCACTGCGTGGAAAACTTGAAGAATACCAATGTTTTTGTCAGGTTACAAAATAGTTATCAAATTGTTTTATTAGCAATTTTGACTTAAAATCTATTTACCTCGTCCACGTATTCTATTCTATTCTCTTATTTTCTATTCCATTCTATCCTATCTTATTCTGTTCTATTTTATTCTATTCTGTTCCAGCTATTCTATATTCTATTGGTGGTTTTCACAGCGGTCACGCCGTCAAAAATAAAAATGGAAACCTTTTAATACAGAAGGTCTAGAATCTGGGAAATGAAGGGAGATAATTTACAAAAAGCCTTGCCAAGAATCAGGTCTGTGCAATATTTCATATGCGAGATATGCGGAAAAATGTTTTACCCAAATTTATAAAGGAATAAAGCTTTGCCGCGGAGACGCTATATTTGTGTCCTACTCAGGGGCTCAGGGGCACAAATATGGCCGCCGGAAACCAACAGAAAAATCTGTTTTTGAGTTTTTTTAATGTGTGAATTCTTCGCTTGAGGAACTCATAAAGATTAAAGCAATATTTATTCTGAGACAAGGAATGTGTAGATAGCAAAATCTTCCAAAATCGGTAATGTTTTTAACACACATGAGAGCTTTCCTGGCCGTCAACTAAATGCCGCGTCATGCGAAAGCCTTGGAAATTCAAACGTCCTGCACCGCAAAACAAAGAACCCTTTTGAACCGAAAATTTGTTTGTATAAAGGTTTTAAGGTGCTGTAGTAGAAACACAGAAGAAGCGATTGTTTAATAATTCTTAGTTTGAATTTTGGTGACGTCATGTGAAAACCGGGAATTCTATTATATTTCATTTGTTATCTCCTATCCTATTCTATTTTATTATACTCCGTTGCGTTCTGCTCTGTTCTGTTTTACTGTATTCTATTCTGATCTGGTCTTGTCTGTTCTATTCTTTTCTGCTCTATTCCATTTCTTCCATTTCATCCCATTCTATTCTACTGTATTGTGTTCTGCTCTGTTCTGTTCTACGCTACTCTACTCTCAGTTCTATAAATAAATTCATATTTTAATTATACTAAGGCATAACTTCTTTCAGGGGAAACAGTGCATCGACCATTCATTTTAAAGTCTAATTCTTCTTCCACATCATAGGCGATGTTAGTTTTTAATACATGAGATTTCTTATGGTTATGACCGGCTTAGTTTCTTTCTTCGGATTGATAGGATGGGAGCGCACTCAAGGACGAATGATATAAAATTTGGAACAGAGCAGGACTTTAGCGTTGAGGAGGTGATAATCCATCCTAACTACCGCGTACCCAAGTTTGAGAGCAACGATTTTGCGCTGTTAAAACTGTCAAAGCCTGCTAAACTAAACAAAGCCGTCGGCCTGGCATGTATTCCAGATCTTGGTCTTCCATTGCCAATCGACAATCCGAATGTGAAGTGTTGGACAACTGGATGGGGAAGACTTTCGGAAGGCGGTCTCAAGCCAACCTACTTACAGCAGGTCGCGGTACCTCTTGTTTCTCAAAAACAATGTGCTAAAATTTACTACAGCTCAATTGACAGTTCCATGCTGTGTGCTGGTGTAGTTGAAGGAGGCAAGGATGCTTGTCAAGGTGACAGTGGAGGACCACTAGTCTGTGAATTCAATGGAAGATGGTACTTGGAAGGGGCCACAAGTTTTGGAGTTGGATGTGCTTTACCCGACTTTGTCGGTGTGTACGCAAAGGTCCGTCATTTTCTTCCTTGGATGACGAAAGTTACAGCTGGAGAAGTAACAAGTAAGTCTATGAAAGAAAAAGGAAAACTACCCGCCCAATAGTAGATCCTCGAAAGAGACTCTGCAAAAAATTTACCTGATGTTACCTCTTTTAATTACTATTTGTATCTGACTAAGTCTGTTTATGATGTCAACACCGTTATACTTTCCTCCAATTCTTTTTTTAGTGCCGTTTCTGTTGTTGCTAGTTCATTGTCATAATTTTTTTTCTGGACCTCATCGTGGAGCTTGCTCTGTGAGTTACCGAGGCCTCTTGGCAAAGTTTGTAAAATAAATAAATAAATAAATTTTTAATTCACAGCTTCGAATACACACGAAAAGTTCATTTGCCAGGACAAAAAGGAGGTGATCAATTGCAGTGGAAGAAAGATAAGAGTTGTTTCCGCCTATTATGGAAGGACAGAGATTTTTAAGTGCGGCATGGGACTCACGACGAATTGTAAAGCAAGTGGGTCTGGTTCCATGGTAGGTGCATGATAAGGAATGGCTGTTTACCAGATGACGGAAGCTTGGAATTAAACAGGAAAAGCTTCAGTAACCGGGAAGGCTCAGATCAAGAGCTAGTGATCAAAGCAATTGTTTGAGTTGATACTTACAATGCTGGACACAACAAAGGGTGGGGATTTGAATTGTATGATTTTTGAGGGATCTGGAGTTGTTTGTGTTTGTTACCCAACGTTCAATACGTGTGCATGTCTTCCCTTTTTTGACAAACGAGGTTATACGTGCAAGAATGGACGATCACTATAAACTCGAGGGTGATAAAGTTTGGCACGAACGTAAACTTACTTCCATTGATTGGCAATATATTTTTTCTCATCGTTTTTTAACATTTTCTTAGATAATGAAAGCCTGTAATGGAAAGGGGTCATGCGTTCTCTACGCATCTAACGACGTATATGGGAATCCTTGCCCGGTGTACGCCTCCAAGTATATCTACATTAAGTACAAGTGTGAGTAAAATGTAAGTATTATTCTTTTCTTTTTTAACTTTTACAAGCTAAGATGACTCTTGTAATGTTAATCATAAACTGACATACAGAGCTTAGGCAATGATCCTAGGCCTAAAAGCAGCGTTTTTTTGAATGACAACGCTTCTCGACGCGTTTTCCCGCCAAAATGATGCTGATTCACGCTCGTGCTTATCATTTAGTATTGAGATAAATCCATGAAGTTCTCGTACTCTCGTTCTCGTCTTAGTATCTTAAGGTATCTACTGTAGAACAAACAATTTACATAGCCTGAAAATTTTTAAGGAAAGACCTTATCATTCATTTTCAGGCTTGAGCCGCTGGGGAAACGTCAAAGAAGAAATCACCGATGAGGTTTTATGGCATTGACGTTAGTATTGGAAATAAATTAAAGACGTATTGTTTTGTTTTCAACCCACTTTTTAAGCTTTCTTTGCTTTGTTTTTGTTTTTTAACTGTGATTATAAAATGATAAAAATAAAGGAGATCCTCAACATGAGCGTTAAGGCGGGACAAAGCGCACAAGTTCTTCGCAGGGTTTTTTTGTGTCGAAACGTTACGCCTTTAATTGGTACACTGATCTTATTCCCTCATATCATTTCATCATTAACATAATTTTGATGATTTCCCCTTCCCCCCTCAAACAAAAGTTAAGTGTTAACGCTGTTGAATTGAAACTTGGCAAGGACGTCAACAACCTAATGAATTGCCGGGAGTCACTGCTTTTTTGCTACTGATGATATGTATTGTTCTGTGGCGTCTAAAGTATTTTCCCTAGGTTTTGAAATCGATCGAATTTGATGAATAGTGATATCGGCGTGATTAAAGCACGGTGAAGCGGGCAACAAAAAACGTGCAACCTGTTTTGCAACATTGCTGCAAAACGAGTTGAATAGCGATGTCACGCTTTTTACCAATCACGAAAAAAAAAACCTTTCAACCTAATGTTTACAAAGACAGGTTAAACTGTGAGTGATAAAACGCGCAATATCGCTATTATTTCATATTTAACTCGTTTTGCAATAATAGCTGCCTGGCAGGCGCAAAAAATGGAGGCCGGGATGGGGGAAAAAGCGCACTCGCTCTCACCAATTCTGGCCTCCCTTTTTCTCTTCCTCCCAATCCCCTATCCCCGCCCCCTTATGCAGCAATGTTGCAAAATAAGTTGCACGTGTTTTTGTCCGTTTTAAGTCCGTCTTAAGTCACGCCAGTTCGAGGCAAAAGAAAACCGAAGCAAAAAACCAAGCGTGCAGAGGTGATACCTCAAGATTCCTGGAAATTCGTGTTCCTGCACCCAGCCTATAATACTCAGTTAACTTTTCCCACCGAAATGAAGCTTAATGAACTCCAACTATACTATAGATAATCCACAGCATTGGAGTTCCTTAACGAGCCAGATCAGTTTTTAAATGGAGGACTTCTGAAGCAAGCTCTTGGGCTCTATAAAAAAATGCTTATTCATGTGTGGGAGACATGCTATGAGTCACTATAGAGAATCGAACATGTCAGTGGAAATTATACAAAAATGTAGCCCAAAAAAATCCATTTAACATGCAGTCAGCGATATTTTAAATCAAGGAGCATGTTCCAGAAGAACCCACTGTCCTTCTTCTCTGTTTTGCATGTCAAGGACTCATCTCTTTGGGCGCTTTCCATTTGTCAGAACTGACCGGCCAGGACATTCCCTTCGTATTTTAACGAAAGCTACCCAGCCAGATCAGTCAAATGCTAAATAGTATGCACGAACAAAATCGTTTTTCAGCAAACACTCTTGGGAAAAGCCTATTTCATTTTTAAAATGAGCGGTGCAGCCGTGGTCCGGCAGGCCAGTTCTGACTTTTGGAAAGCGCCTTTTGAGGATCAGTGGTAAAAATTGTCGGCTCTTCCGTTTGGTGGGTACTGGTACTTGTACTTGTACCAGTGAACTCCCCTGTCTGATCATGACATGTAGGGGTACTGGTGGGTCTTTGAGCTGGCCGGTGAGACTCAAGTAATCTTGGTCAAGCCAACCAGAGTGATCTTGTCCTGCGTCTGATTCGTGTAAAACAAAGTTGTATGCTTGCTTTATCCGAATGTAGAGAAGCCCTTGTCCGGCTAGTTTGTTTACGACCGTACACTGTAATAGGCCTGACTTCCGAGATCCAAAACCCTTACTTTCAAAATGAGGCCAAGTGCACAACTTTTCTTCTGAAAATAAGTTTTATTTGAGTGAGAATGAAACATCATTTCTATATGAAAGGCTGAGCATTTAACCTCGTTTTGATACAGAGGCCCGGGGGAACTCGGAAATGGGCTATTGAATTCAGTCCCCTCTGCTAGTCTTAATACTGATATTTTTTTTTGCTGACTTTAACAATTAAAGTCGGAGTCATTTGGTCCTGGTAAACCGCATTCCGATATGAGGGATGAAACTGTTTTTCCACGCACACGATTCGCTATCATCCTCATTAAGTACAACCATACCTCGTTCCGATATCCACACTGTTTCTTCATCAGTGTTTCAACTTTATCCTCTTAAATCGCTTTCTTCAGAAATTGCCCTTGGAAGATCAAATTCAAATGGCTTTTTCTCGATGCCTATTGAGTCTTCTGTACAGACCGCGACTGGAGCTTGTGTTCATAGTATTGTTCTTGCCCTTACCAGGCTTTCGGCGATCGGCGTTCGTGGTCATTGCCGGTCTCATTGCAGTAGAATCACTTAAATCCGTTCCAGAACTAGTAGATGTTGATGTTTCCACAGTCAGCAACATACAGACGCCCCTTTAAGAAGGCCAGCCGCCTTCTTTAATTTCTCTTCATCCATAGTTTAACCAAGATGATCGACTTCAAAAAGCGGGAAGAATTACCCAGTACCGCACGAATATTTATCACTCGTCTCAGTCCCCAAAATTAAATAAATGAGCGCGAACATTGAACGAATATGGGCTGATTTTTGTCGTTCGAACTAATTAAAAAGTGGTGGAATAAATTGAATTGATATCAGTGGTTAAATCATAAAATATATTCAGGTATTTTATTAAAATGAACAAATGTGGAACGATTGAATAGAATAAGTACCAGTGTTCAGATCGAACAGAACGGAAAACTCGCGAAACTGTAAATTACAAATGGGTTACGACCATGATGAGCTACAATGATAAGAAATAGCAAATTCAAGTTGTTTCTGATATGGTGTAAGGAAAAAGAAAGTCAGAGCAATTAACCTTTACATTTATTTAACCGAAGAAAGTCAACAATTGAAAGCAAAAAGATATAGAATCAGCTGTGGCAAAAAAAAAAATCTCACAGATTTCCACCCCAAGATAAGAAATGTGAGGCCTTTTAAAACCTGTATATCGAAAAAAGGGAGATATTTTTTAGGACGTAATACCCAATTAATTTTACTCCCTGTATTCAACACCTGCAATAGGATTTGCACATTCGTGCACGTGCGGTAATGGCCATACCGCGGAGTTGGTGCGTGTGCTTCAGTGCTAATATTGGTATAAGCTTTGCAGAACTACTATAAAGGATCTTGAAAATGGCAGAAATGGTGACGGATTTTGACTGAAAATACATTCAGTTGTTAATTTTACTCCCTTTAATGAACACCTGCAATAGGATTTACGCATGAATGGCTCCAGGGTAAGCTATGAGGCAATCGCCATACCGTGGAGTGTGCTTTAATCAGTGCTAATATTGGTATAAGCTTTGCAGAACTAATATAAAGGTTCTTGAAAATGGCGGAAATGGTGACGGATTTAGATTTACAAAAAGGGTTGTAATTGGCAGATGTCAAGTTATAATTTCTTTTTAAAGCTGAACAAAATGAACATGATGATATGGAATGGTCTGCCAAATATCGCTTATAAATATGAAGGTAATTAACAGGAGAAAAAAATGCACTTCAAGGCTCAAATCAAACTAAACATTTTAGCCGACAATATTGAAATCGAGCAGGCTATTTGAGGGTGTTTTTCCAGTTTCAATTTCTCTTTAAGTACTTCACGAATCACCAGTATTCGATAGTAAAACACTGCTTAAACACATCTCAACTATGGCTAACAGCAGTCCTATTCCGTTTTCTGTGGTGGTGATCTTCAGCGTTTTTTATGCCATTGTTTTCATTATTTCAGTCGTTGGTAATACATGGGTTATAATAAACGGCTACACCATTCTGAAGAGAACACATTCTCCCGTGATGTGGTTCTTGGCAAATTTAGCGTCTGCAGATCTCTTGTTTACTTTTCTCACGGTGTTAAATGTTATTACCTTTCATTGGCGTTGGGTAGGCGGTGACGGAACCTGTAAACTTCAGGGATTTCTCGTGGAAGCAACCTACACAGTTTCAATAACAACTCTTGTGGTGTTAAGCTATCAGAGACTGAAGGCTGTTGTTGATCCTTTGAATGCAAGAATTGGTAGCTGGCCACGAAAAGAATTTTTGAAAATTGTCACAATCTGGGCCATTGGCTTAGCGGTTTGTTCGCCTTTAGCTCACATTCATCGCGTGGAAAAACAAGGATACCGGTGAATTAGTTTGTGCTAATACTAAATGGGGAAATATTGGCCAAAAAATATTCTACACTTTGCACGCATGCCTTTTTTCATCGCTCCTTTGTTGTATATGATTTGTACTCAAACTCAGATTCATCGCGCTCTTCGTTCAAGAGTTCAGACCATAAACAATACTCTCATGGAGCGGGAATTTAATCGACGACACAAGAAAGTTGCTACAACACTTGTAGCATTAACTACAGCGTTTGTTATCTGTTGGTCCCCTTTTATGGTCACACGAACGCTTTTGTACTATCACCTAGCTTCATATGATTATATTTGGAAAGGATCTCAACTTTTAATATTCCTAAACGCGGCATTGGATCCCTTGTTATACGGGTACTTCGGCGGAAACCTCAAAAGTGCATTACGAAGACTCCTGCGGTGCAATTACTCACAACAGCAACGTCCTAATGTGATCCCTTTGACTGATATTCGAACAAACACGATTGGAAAACAAGGAAATATACATGTAACAGAAAAAACAAACTGAAACGCTATTAATTTAGAAACGACCTAGTAAGTTTGGCAAATACAAGAGGTTCTCAATGGGGTGGTGTCTTTTACGGTTATCGGCTAAAATTTTGACTCTTTTACGGCTATCGGTTAATTTTTTTCAGTTACGGTTAACAAAAATGTTAAAAATTAATTTCTTTTGTTTCAAAGAGTTAAATATTAATAAACCTGTATTTTTTGTACCTTCAAAGCAAAATAAAGGTCTTGGGATCATCTCGGGATAAACTGAAGCTATTGCCGGTTTTTGAAAAGTTTAAAATTTGATAGATCATACTTTTTATAAAGTATTCCTTTTCTAATATTATTTTGCGCATAGA